ATATACAGTCTCTATGTAGGAACCCAAGACATGCATCCAAGCAGCTCTCCGGCAGCATGGCCCTGATGTACTGCATTCAACCCTGAGCACCAGACGACCGGGTGAACGGACAGCTTGACTGGGAAACTTCAAGCCTCTTCCAAACAGACGATTGCGGTTGTCGCTTCAGTAGGAGGGGGGGAGCCGGTGTGTAGAAAGCAGGGCTAGGGGAAATTTAAAAAAAAAAAAAAGGAAAGGCATGGACCACTGTAAAGCAAGGCTGGGCTTTCAGTCCGACCACTCTTCGGGTGCCTCTCTTCCCTTCTGCAGAGTTCTAAGACAGCGTGATGGAGCTGAAAGTTAATTCTTTGGAATCTGTCCCTGATAATTAAAGAAAAAAAAAGAGAGAGGGAAAAAAGGGGGCCAAAAAAAAAGAGAGAGAGAGCAACGCTAGGGTGGTAGAGCCAAATACCAAATATCTTTCTCATGCACTGTTGAAGTTGGCGATGCTCTGCGGATGATGCTGTTGCCATATTTGCTGCTGCTGCACCGCCAACTGCTGCGACTGATCTGATGTCGACAGGAGGTTGACGAGGGGAGACACACAATTTGCTGGAATGATCAAGCCTGCAACACAATAAGGGGCTGGTCACATCACTGACATCAAGGAGCTGCAGCGATTTCAACGCCTCTGTCTGGCTTCTGAACCAACACTTGTTAGTTAAGCTACCGTCCTCGGTCCACTTTCCATAATTTAGGGTCTTCTGCTCAGCGTCTTAGATGAGCCTTGTAGCACAGTATTTTTAATTAAGATGTGTGGACTTCAACTCCCAGAATTCTCCAGCCAGCGTGTGTGGAGTTCAGTGCCCCAGAATTCCCCAGCACTGAACTCCACACACGCTGGCTGGAGAATTCTGGGAGCTGAAGTGCATACATCTTAAAAGTTGCCAAGCTTAAAAAACACTGCTGTAGCTGCTCTAAAGAAAGACAAAACAAAACAGGATTTGGCCACCCCAAATGCACTTCTATTGTTCATCCTCTTGCTTGCTTTCATCTAATTTCCAGGGGCCGAACAGAAAAGCTCCTTTGAGCTTGGCTCAAGGGGTTTCACCATTTCCCACTCCCACACAGGGGGCTGCAGGTTCAAATGGACAGCCTTGGAAAACAGACAATTAGGATTGGGAGGGCCCACTAAGAGTACAGGAATGCTTGTGCAGACATGGGAATCCTGGTCTGAGAGAGAGAATGCCTTCAGGGACCAAAACCTAACCACCATACTTGCCTACAATTCTCTGGCCATCCTCGGTCCGCAAGCGAACAATCTGCATTTTGACGTTTGTGCCGCTAACTGAGGCAAGAACCCCTTCCACCTTTGTCCAAACGCTCAGGACAGAACCACAGAGGACATAGTACGTCCGGCAGCGCAAGCCGACTTCACAAACGAGGCCCAAACCCGCCTTTTTGCAGTTGCCTCTCCTGAAAGAGGAAGGGAAGGTCTGAAGGCTGAAACTCCATTTTTGAAGCCAAAACTAAACATCAGTTTTTGCTTCCTGTACAAAGAAATATTCAAGGATTGTTTCCCAAACAAAATTACATCCAATTTTGGAGTATCCTTTCAAAGATTACATGGTTTTTTAAAAAAAATCCTATAGCACCACCAGCAAAATGATAAAGTCCAGCAACGTGTAAATCCTCAGATCAAATGTGGAGAAAATGAGGGCCACAAAGTTATTCCTTCCATCTGGTATTTTAGTTCGGTTGGGAAGACCTGATGAAGGCTGTTTTTTGCAGCACCCACTGTGTTGAAGGCCCCCGAAGGCTTACCAGTAAGCGTGGGTGCACGTGTCTGCTGATGAGGTGTACTGTTCGAGCCAGTGAGTCACAGCATCGTCAGAGGATACCTGGAATTATGCACAGCGGAGTTATTAATAGTCAGATCTGGCCATAAGCCCATTCAGATGCAATGCTGAACCTTGTTAACAGCAACCCTTGTTTGGGTTTGACAGTCTGGGCAAATTAAATCTGCAGTTAAGCAAAACAGTTACATGTACGTATGACTGAAAACGTAATTTTATAAAGATAACTCACTTTTTTATATTTTTTCTTTATTTCTGCGTAGGTTTCCAGTTTCAATTGTTTTCCGGTATTCGGCCTGTAGACCAGGAAAAGCTTCTTTTTGGGATTCACCTCTTTCACGAGGATGGCGGTTTTCTTACTATTTCGGATCTGATAAAGAAAAGGGGGGGGGGAAACAAAAATTCAGTTTGTACCTCCCAGAAGACACTGTTGGAATTGAATGCATTCACTGGTAAACAGTTACTCATTTAATAAACCCGGACCGAATATTGCCACACCTTTGTACAAAAAATTCATCCACAGTCTGTGTGGCAGTTTGGTTAAACAACTGCCGCTGCTTCTGAAATCCAGCTAGAAAAGACAATCCACAGGGTTGGGAATTTGGAGCAATTTTGCTGAGAAAAGATTGGGGGGCTTTTTAGTTTAGAAGATAGAGTAATGTGAGAGAAAAGAAGAAGAATCAAGACAGATAAAAGGAAAAAAAAAATTCCCCCATTCAGCAGGTAGTTATGCTTTGGAATCCATTGTTGCATGTTGTTATGATGGCCACCTTAAAAGTCTTGAAAAGGGGGTGAAACAAATTCATGAATAAACACTGAATTACATCCAGCGGGGTTCCAAAAATCAGTTGCTAAGGAGTAAGGGCCGATGAATGATGCCAGCGCTACCAAAGTGTGCTTCTTGGAGTTTCAGAACAAATGTGGATGATGGTCTGGAGAGACCTTTGATAATCAGTCCCAGCAGAAATCTTTTTTGCAGGTCAGCCAAAAGCTTAAAATAGCTCTTGAGCCATCACAGATTCCCCCTTTTAGCAGCCCTTGGAATCTCCGTGACTCCACGGCTTTTACTGAATTTCAGTGGCTAGTGAGCTGATGGGGCAGAGCAGCTTAGGAGTGGACGGGGCATTCCCTGATTCCCCTTGCTTTAGCCAAACTCACCAAGGAGGGCTTAGCCAAATCCTCATTTTTGGCAACAAGGTTCTGAATAACACATCCAGTTCTGCCCCATGAAAATGCTCAGCCTGACATTCAAAACAGAGACTCACCTGGAGCGATAAATAAAATCCATCATCTGGTCCGTTCTGCTCAGTCCAAATCTTGGTGGCTTCCTCCCAAGACATTCCTCTTTCCACACTTATCTAGAAAACAGATTAAAGCAGAAACAATGCTTAGTTGCAAACTTTGGACCCGCAGTTCTTGTAGTTAAAGACAGCCAGTGACGCACTTCAGCAGCTCACCCCAAGCTGACTGCCCATCCAGATAACTTACGGTGTACAGTTCAACGTGTCCAGAGGTAGAATAGCCCGGCGTTAGAAATTTTTTAGCATCTGCTTTCCTCACTTTTTCGTCTCCTGAACCCAGATCTTAAAAAAAAAAGTCACAAGGAAGAAAGAGATCAGTATCTTATATATATATTTTATGTATCAGGCATAAAAATGAACACAGGGATTAAACCTCCACACGTATATAAAGGATAAAAGGTTGAAAATGATGAGACGTAGTTCCGTTGTAAGGGGTTTACTGAACAAAATGGTTTAGGGCAACGCGTGATGAAGGCCAGTGGCCGCAGAAGGGGAGCAGCAGTCAGGAGGGCAGAAAACTCCAAGGAGGCACCGCTCAAAGAAGGGTTCTGAAGAACTTCAGCTCCTTGGCTCTGTGGCAGCTTTTGGCAGCCGCCTCATATGGAAACAAAGCCTTGTCTTGTTTTGGTGGCTGGCAGCAAAAGGAACCAGCTCTAAAGGAACTGGACAGTGCCCACCATGGAAACGCCTCCCCTTACCTAATATGCCCATGTCGTATCTTCCGTTCTTTTTAGCGTTCTGAATTACTGCGTTGAGCGTATCTGAGAAGTACTGGAATAGAGCATTCTGCTGGTGTACTTCCATGCCCAAGATTCGGTTCAGGAATTTCCCAATATTGTTATAATCTAAAAGGAAGGGAAACGAAGCGACATTAGTGAGAAAACAGGCAGGGTTCCCCCCGCCCCCCGCTGAACGAGAGAAGAGTAACCGCAAAGCTGAGCCACGCAGCACTGTGCTTGTGTTTCCTTTCTGAAAGAAGCTGCCAAGCGCAATAAAACAAATACCTTTGTCGAGGGTGAGAATCCCCGAACGGTCTTCAACATTGATTAGGCCGACACCTATTAAACCTTGTCTAACATCTAAAAGGAAAAGGGAGAGATGAACTTCAGCTCTATAAGAGAGTCATTGATCTTGCTTTTTTTAAACATAACTTTATGAGGGTTTTAATAAAGAAAGATAAAAACTAACAGAAACTAATATTCAGAATAAAGAAAAGAAAGAAAAGACGAAGACCAAAGTGTGAAGAAAATAAAGAAAGTAATATCAGATCGTTAAATGACTGGAATGCCATAATCAAAATGGGATGTTTGGCTGGTTCAGCTGAAAATAGATTCAACCATCATCACAGAAACTGTTAAGCAAACTTAGTTGGACTTTTGGAGGTCTGCATAATCAAGCAATTCAAGACAGCTTTCTCCAAGTTATATTCCAATTATTAAAAAGAAAACAAAACATACCTTTAAAAAACTCTCCTGGATAGTCAGCTGGCGGAGACACTAAAGGGGAATCCAAATTCACAATGGACTTCATGACTATTTCCAATGCATTTCGACCATACTAATTTAGGAGGAGAAAAAAAAAAAGAGCTATTGTTGTCCCTCAGATAATCTGACCAACCTGATCAAGTGTGTATTTATACATATATGTGTATCTATATTATTAGATTATCCTGCGCTTTTATATATAACTCAAATGTATATTTATAGAATGAAACATTAATACACGTACAAGCATATATGCGTATGTGTATCGTGTTATTGCAAATGAGAAAGGAAAAGGAAAACAAGTAAAAATGGTACAGAATCAGAGTAGGAAAGGACTACAATTTTTACCTTGTTGTCAAAGTTGAACCTACTCAAGTCTCTAGTTTCTGTTGCTCTTCTGTCACCGTGAGTGAGAGCTCCCTACACAAAAAAAGCTGACTTATAACCAAGATACACAAGTTTCCTGCCCTTTTAAAAACAACAGCGATTACCTCTATTACATTAAAAACAAATTACCAGAAAAGAAATTGACATCCCTGACAAATCCAGCAAGAATTTCTGGCTGTGATAATCCCTGCTTCCTCATGGACAAGGCACAGAGCAGGCTGATATCTGGATGCTCCCCCCACCAAAGAAAGTTACACTTCTAAAACTAAGGCTGTCTGTGCTGTAAAGACCATAGAAATCTTGGTTTCCTGCTTTGCCCTCCAATTAAGGACAACCAGTTCCCAAACCTTTGTCAAAATCTGGTCCCATATAATTATCCACCTGGAGCAACTCACAGCAAATGTCTTACCAAGCTCTCTAGCCGTTTGGCAACAATCGATGCAAATCTCTGTTCTCCTGCCAATTCAGAAATTAGGAAGACATACTCTGGGGCAGTAACTTGGTTGGACCGGTGAGTTCGCCCTGGAGATTAAGAAAAAGGCAAATTTTGTTGGCTCATGTCAACAGCATCACCCCCAACTCTCATGTGTGAAGGGGATGAACCTTATTTTATTTAAATAGATTTACCCACAATGCTTGACTCCCAACTACTCCAGGCACTTTACATTCTAAAAAGCTAGAACAATAACGCAAAAAGAAAAACCATGCAAACAGGAAAAAAAAATTACAGGGGCTTACCAACCACCCTACCCCAACCCTCATTATCTTTTCTTTCTCTTGGAAAGAAAACCTCGCTCTAAATAAAGTTCACCAGATTATAGAAAGATTCAATTTGTACACATTTCAGGGTAGAAACTTTTACTGTCTTTTGATTTTTGCATGAGCTTAAAATTGGATTCTTAAATCAACTGACAAGCCACTTTTGTGCTACATTCAGGATTGTGTATAGCAATTTGGCCATATAAGTAAATCTAGAAGAGTTTATCACCTTGCCTCCAAATTAACTTCCATTAATGTCTGATGCGAGGCAAAACGGTTTGTCTATCAAGGCATCTTTCAATCTGAAAGCCTACAGAGACGCTTAGCAACGTGAGGGCCTTGCAACGGGCTTCTTAGGAACCATCCTGCTACTAGAAGCCTTGTTTCCAAGTCCAGCCAACCTCAGGCTACTCACCAAACTGCTGAATTGCCCGATCTGCACTCCATGGCAACTCCAGGGTCATATGCACCCTCCTTCTCTGGTTTTTGGCTCTCCGATCTGCTTGCAAAGATATGCCTGAGCTGGCTGCTTCAGAGATGATGGCGATGTTCTGCAAGCCAGAGGGAGGTGGAGGAAAAAAGAAAAGAAAAGAAAAAAAACTGATACGTATAAATGCAAACTTCAGATCTTTGTCAGGGAGAAATAACGTGATGTGATACTTAAGGTAGGTGAGAATGATGCCACATCACCAAGTTAGGAGATCTTTCCCATTATCTAAGAAACTTCTCCTGCAAATGTTTTATCAGAGTCCCCTTTCCTAATGAGGAGAAGACATCCATGGCAAAGGATGCTCTTAAGATCAATGGCCTGCACTGATCACACTTTTCTCGCAAAGACGCAAGCCAAACATCCTTGCCAAAACGTGCCCTTCTTGACACAAACAAATTCTAAGCAAGGATTGCTTTACTGTGCTACTACATGGCCAGCTTTAACTTTTGGGGCGGGGCGGGGGGAGAACTTGGTTATACTTGGGTACTGTGTTTTTGGAAGAAATGTATGGCCTAGAGTACCTGCAACTTTTTAACCTGCTGCAAAGGCAAATGTTTAGAGACTGAAGAGCGGAAAAGGAATGGAAACGGGTACCTTATCTCCATCCATGAATCTCTGCTTCTCGGTAATATTTAGGATTTCAACTGGAACATCAAGCTCAGATCTCGACTCATACGAAATGCTGCCATCGTCATTACTCACAACTCTTCCTTTGCGACCTGTCATCTTCGGAACAGCAACTCGTTTTAGCAGGCTACATAAAGCTTTTAGGCCCCGTGAAGTATTCTGAACTCCTGTCAGTATTCTTCAAGGGCTATTCTGAGAACAAACTTACTGGGTATATACTATTCGCCAGCCCTAGCTGATTTCTCTTCCCCTCTCAAGGGCTGCTGGGATTTGATAGCATTTGAAGGTGCACCTCCACGGAGGTGGGAATGTTGGGGGGAGGGCAGAGAAACACAGTGATTGGCCAGGAATGGAAGAGCTGCTTGAGGGACACCAAAATAGTACCTTGCACAGGAAGAGTTGCTAGCTGAAGTTCTTTGAATAGCAGGCCCTCACCCGTAACACCCAGAGAAACCCTTAAATGCTTTTGTTAGGGCTTCAGAAATGCGGGGGCAGGGACACATGGTTCACAGGTTGCCTTGGCCCATGCAAACATCGGGGCCAACCTTTTGAAGTTCTGCCCCAGAATGACAAGCTGCCCATGTTTAATTTCAGGCTTCCTGTGTCACAACCCCTATTCTTAGACCTCCCTCGCTCTAACAGCTTTAACCAAAAGCCTTCCTTCCTTGATCATCTAAGTCACCTACCTCAGCTACATTCTCAGGACCTCCCAGTTCATCTATGAGTTCATCCAGTGTATTAGGAGGAAGATCTTCTGATAGCTTCTCCAGTTTATCAAGCAATTCTTTTTTCATCTGCTGGGCCCTTTCAACAGCATCCTGACTTGTCACGTAGCTGGTGTTTGTGTTACTGGATGCTGTGAATTGCCAAAAAGGGGGGGAAGAAACCCCCAAGAGAGATTCTTTACAGACTCTTAGAAGGAGAGCCAGGTTAATCCACAGAATCCCAATTCAGGAGAGGTTTGATACCACCTTTTCTGACTAACACATTTTATTAAAGGAGTTAAGCTTATGAAAAAGTAAGCTTTTGAATAAAATTTGCTAGTTGGAAAAAGTGCTACCAGACTCCTCCTGATTTTCTTTTACAGGCTTTTAGAACGGCTGCTTCCTTGCCAGGCAGAAATATTCTGAAAACCGAAGCAGCTATGAACACAACTTGGGCAACATACCAGATATATTTGTAGAAGGGGTTACCGCTGTGGAGGACAGAGAACTTGGCCGTTTGGCTCCGAGACCAGAAGCTAATAAGGCACTCTGAATAGAATCGGGGTCTATGCTTTTCTTCTTCTTCTTCTCTTTATTTTTCTTATGTTCTTTTCGAATTAGCCATGGGTCTGAGAGGAAGGAAAATACTACAGTGGGCAAGCGGAACCTCATCAGCTTTCCCCTCAAAAGCTGAAATCACGCACAACCTACAGTGATTTTTTTAAAAAGACGACCGCCACAAATACCCAAAGGCCCACTCTCTCACCATCTTCATCATCTTCACTAGATTCATCCCTAAACGGGTTGAAGTCGTCGTCATCTCCAGAGCTTAAGAACCGAGAACTCTCGTTGTCGCTCTCCTCATTCTCCGAGGCCTCGGACTCGCTGAAGCTTTCGTCGGAGCTGCTCCCAGCTAGGCCACCAGTTTTACGGGCTTTCTTGATTTCTCGTGTGATTTCTTCCCCTTTTTTCGTTAAAACCAAATAAGGAAATGTTATTAGAAAGGGGCACCTTAACTTCCCTGGGTTCGTTAGCAAAGAGAGAAAGTCAGTGGCTTTCTGATGGAGAAGCATTCGCTTGGGGAGGAACTCTACCACTTGGTTCTTGAGTAACTGAACAAAAATAGACGCTGTGCGAATGAACAGTGCAGAGATTCTCCTAACTCAGTGTTTCTCAACCTTGGGAACTTGAAGATGGGTGGACTTCAACTCCCAGAATTCCCCCGCCCGCCTGGGGGGTGAAGTACACCCCTCTTCTAGTTTCCAAGGCTGAG